CTTTGTGCAATGTACATTGTGCTTGTATTATCATATAATCAGCTACTTGGCATCCAGTATGCTGCATGAAACAAACGTTGCATCTTATTTCTGTTGCTTCAGCGAGACAATTTAATATCCAGGGCATCTGTTCTCATTATTCCTGGCTGAAGTAACATGAAGACCCCACAAGAAACTGCACCATAAGGGGATTATATCTTGAAGTTCCTTGACAGGTAAATTGCTTTATGGTTTCCCTATAGGGCTAATTTTTTGCCATATTTTCAAACTTGTTGAGCAGGAAGCCTTTATTTTAGGGTTACTACAGCCAAGTGTTTTACTTAAAACAATTAGAGATTCTTTCCTGCTTTACAGTTTTACATAATGACGAGGGGAGTTTGCCAAATGCATAAAATTGAATAATCTGACTGGGGTGCTGTGCTGTTCTCTCTTAGTTGTTTTTTAATCAGTGTATGTCAATCAGGAACTGTTGTTTTATCTATAATGTGCTATCCACGTGACATGTCCCTGAAAGTTGGCTCTTTTTTACCCTCTGATACCCTACCTTGTACTGTAGTCCCATCAGATTTCATACAGTAAGCAGACTTGGGCTGTGTCAGTGTTCGACAGGAGGCCTCCAAGGAACACCCATGGTGCTGGGGAAATTCAGTATGAGAGAGTTTTCGCTCAGAGTCAATAGTAAACCAATGCCTGATATTATAGGGGATCTGCTGGAGCTGCTGTCTCTTGCAGAAATGTGAAGCGGAGCTCCTGACCTCTCATGCTGCACTTAAAGATCCCATGGCATTTTCTTGGGACACATTTCCTGTGTCCTGTCTGAATTCCAGTTTGGGTAATTGTGCCAGACTTCTCTAGATTCCTCTGGCGGTATCACTTGAATTCAGTGTCCTCACTCGTCTCCTGCCCTAAAGAGCTGAGATGCTCCTCTGTGCCGTTAAGCAATTGCTACACTTCACCCCAGGTTGGCGAAGTGATTCCTGTATAGCTTGTACTGAATTAAATCTGTAAAGCTTTATGGGATCTCCTGGAATGACAGGCACTCTGTCAACGTACTGTACCGTGCTATATTTTCACTTTAGTACCTGTAGCCTGACTGGAGCAGAGGTGTAAATAGCAGTGTGGAATATGGCCAGCCCACTGTCTCCTTCCCTCCCAGGGCAGATCTGCCATTACCCACAATAGACTCCTTTACCTCCAGCAAAACTCCCATGGAGCCAGTGAGTATTTTGGCTGGGCAAGGAGTGTAAGATCCTACCCAAATTGATTACAACCCAGCAGGGCGGCTGGAGAGAGTTGCTGGTGTGTTTCATAAAGGGCTTGATGAGGAACAAATTGTGGAGAAGTTGTACCCTCCCTAACATGGAGCCCGGACCTAGGATGAGGGCAGAGGCTGTGTCCCTGCCACACAGACATTCCTCTTGTTGTGTATTGTTTTGTTTGTTAAGCACCCACATTATACAGTGCTGAATTCATTATTCATAGAGCACCTTTTTGCACAGAAATTCATCTTGATCAGCTTTCCCAAGCCATGTATTATCACCTCACAGCCAATCTCCTGCTTTAAATACCTTTCGGTCTCTTCTATTCCTCTGAAAAAACAGTCTGGCACGTTGGAAGATTTCAGGATATTTTCATTGTTCAAAATAGACTGTGTGTGAAATGTATAAAAGATTCCAGCTTAGTAAAAGGAATTTGCTTCTGTTTAATGAAGCTGAATTTTCAACAGCTGGTTTGAATTTAGTAATGAGACCGATTCTGTGCAGATGAATCTAGAAAGTGATGATTGGCTCAGCCACTTTGGGATAACAGAAGTTCCTCAACAGGTTTCAGAGTAACAGCTGTGTTAGTCTGTATTCGCAAAAAGTTCCTCAACTACTGCCTCCTGTTAAGCTGAAGGAACAGCTATTTTAAGTGGATGCTGCCCTTTTGGTGGCCAGCGGCACTCTTGTCAAGGACCAGCTGGCCAGCAGCATGATCCTGCATTTTTCCCCCAGACTCAATTCCTGTTGTCTTAACCGGGAGTTTTGCATTGTGTAGAGATTTCAAGATCAGGCCCCTGGGCTGTGACATGCCCAGGATTCGTTTCATTCTGTACACTTTTTGTCAGAAAAGGGCTAAATTTTCTGAGTCCGAACAGAAAATTCTCCATCCACCTGCCTTACCAGATGAACAGATTTGCTTGATGCACAAAAAAGTGGCCAAAAACAGAATAGCTGCCAAACAGGTAGAGACAGAAAAAGTTTGGGTGGGTTATTGCTGGGTGAATTAACACACTGACTCCTTCTCTACCATGTTTCAAGTCTCTATCTGCATGCCACTGATAGCCATCTTCAAATATCATTGCTTCCCTGGTCATGATTACTTCTTTGCATAGCACTTAACAGATGAGACGGTATCCCTGTCCCAAAGACTTCCTGACCTAGGTGAACACCGTGATTGCAATGGAGGAGAGCTAACAGTTACTGAGGGATAAGGAAAAATGATGCTGAGGCAGCAATGAGAACTTGAGATTTTTTTGGCTAGTAACACCTGCAGCCTGTGGAGGTTCCAAAGCAGCGTTGGGTTTGCTGCTGTGTTTTGGTGTGGAGGTGGGATGGGGTTTACAGACCCAGCACTAAAGTAAAAAGAGTGGTGGAGAAGTGTTGGGCCGAGAAGCATGCTGGGCCTGCGCCCTCTGGAGGGCCTGCTTAAAAGGGAGTTCTGGCTGGGGGAGCATGGAGGAGAGACGCTGCCACCGCTGAGGCAGAGCGATCTGCAGGGGAAGGACCAGGACTGAGCAGGATTCAGCTGGGATCCCCCTAACTAAACGGGGGAACTGAACTCTGAGGGATAGCTGAGAAGCATCCCACCCCCCAGCTGGAGCCCCCTGAACTACCAAGACTGTGTAAGCAGAAGGCTGGGGCCAGACTCCAAACTGAGGGGAAAACAGGGAAAATAGGAAATGGTCCAGGGGAGTGATCTGGAGTGGCAGCCAGAAGGCACTGGGACCTGGTTAACAGGGAAGGCCCAGGTCCCCCTATCCTTGCCCTGGCCTCCTGAGAGAGCCTGGACGACTCTGGGGTGTGTGATGGTGGGGGTGACCAACTGTGGCTTGCCCGCCAGGCCCCTGTACTACCGGGAAGAGCTACCTCCAAGGTTTGGGGAGAGAGTTCATCTGTGGCCTGACCACTAGGCCTGCTGGCCTCCAAACAAAGCCATGACAGACGAATTAGGATGTTAATGCCCATTCTCTTACAGCAGATGGCGCTACGTTTCCTCCTCCCCTTCCCCGCCATGCCTAAAACCTATTTTCTCTAATCCACTGGCTCCGTGAAGAACAGTAACCTGCAAAAGTAGTTTGCTTTAGCGGTTTGATCTTGTTCCTCATGAAGTCATCAGTACAACTCCTACTGACTTTAATGTGAGCAGGACTGAGCCAGGATCATACCTGAGATGAAATAGCTCTGCTGTCCTTCCCATATTTCTCTCTTTGAGACTAAATCCTAATGGAAAGGCTTTTTGAACTTTCCTCTGCTAGAGTCCTCATGCATTTGGAAAGAATCCTCTTTTCCATTGCTCAGCATATAGGATCCTTCTTTGGCTCTTTCCTTCAGTAGTTTAAAAATAGCCCCAAAGAGGCCGAACAGACTGAGAGGCCCCAGTGCTGAAGCAGTTAGTATCGTGCCAACATTTCCATTATAAACTGCCTTTCTTGGGGTTTTATTACTCAGCTGCAAGTAGTTTGTTGTTGTAAACAAGGTGTCCACTCAGGAGTAAATTGCTTTGAAACTTGTTTTAAGGACTCCATTTGCCCATTTTTGAGCTATTATAAGGCAGGGGGAGGAAAAGGCCTGAATAGTTTGGCTGAGTTTTAGCCCTCATGTACTGCAGAGAAGCATATTATTTTTCTCTGAAATTATGCTGCTGCCAATATCTAAAGGATCCCGGTACATTTGGCTCCTGTGCTTAATATTTCTTTCTGTTGCAGTTGCACACTAATAAAAAACTAGAAAAACTGCATGCCCCATCTGAGTCCAAGCACCCTTCCTAGTGGTATGTACTACGATGGATTTTTAAACACCCCTGGACATTGAGCTCCCCGGTGTACTCAACAACCAGGGTGAGGATACATGGATATTCAAGCTAATATCTGGCAAGTGAGAATTTTAATGCAGGAAATACAGCTTGGGGTGCTCCTTGCTGACAGTGTATCAATATTCCAGGCATGTGCAGTGGAATCTTCAAATGGCTTCCTTTGTGCACTCTGCAGAGGGCTTAGGTGACAGAGATGGGGTGAAATTTACCCCTTCCTGAGGGCCAGTACATGGCCTATGAATTACGATATTGCTCTAATTAGGGCATATGAGAGGCATTAGTGGTACACAGGCTTTGTGCTGGCCCTCTGAACAGGAGCAATGCGAGAGTTACTTATTTGGCTACTGACAACTGTGCTCAAACTATTGTTGTGGGTTTCCCCGGGGTATTATTCTCTTTCTCATACCATTGGCTGCAGGAGGAAACAGCAGCACAGATGTACCTAGTTTTTGCTGAAGCCCCATGTAAATCCTGCGTTAGTCTCTCCTAGCAGTCTAGTTCCTTTCCCTGTGTATATATCCCTGTACTCAGCTTTTACTATAGAGCCCATTGTAGGTGGATGGATGAACTATTCAGTATCTATTCTATCTTGGTTTATTTAGCCAAGGTGCATGGTACCAACTGAGCAGAAATTAGCTTACGAGGCTCTGGTAAATCCTATTGCGTGACATTGACAATCACGCCTATGTTACATTTGCACCTACAGATTTCAACTTCTTGCTATAGCCATTTACATTTAATGTAAAATATTAGCTACATGATACCATCTGCTGTTCACCACTCCACACTTGAACAGTTTACAGGCTTTCATTATTTACACGTTGTCAGATAGGGTTTGCACTAAGAACACCAGTAATCTGCTATTCCCCTGGGCTGTATGGTACAATTTCATATTAATTTCCCACATTTCTACTCTACATTAACAGCTTCCCAAGGAGTAACATTGACATTGGCTGGAGCAACATCAAGTGGATACCCCTTCTGGCTGAACATCTTATGCAGCAAGCAGGAAAGTGAAGTAAAAATGTAAGTGCAAAACATGAACAAGAGAAGGAATCCATTCTTGGAGGAAACTCAATGGTCTGAACTTTCATGTTGTGAGGAGAGGGGAAAGAGCTCAGAAGACTTTTCGTACTTCTGTTTGTTATAATACTCTCTACATGATCATCTCATCCATTGGAAGGTCTTCATTCTCCTTGTATGTGTCACTTCCTATGTAGCCAGTAACTTCAGGAGGGGAAAGTCAGGAATGATGATCAGTTAGAGCTGGTTGGAAAATAGAAAAACAATTTTTGAACATTTTAAAAGTTGCTTCCCTTGCACATGGATTGCAGCAATTTAATTTTTTGCTATTTTTTGACTGACTCTTCAGAATTTTGAATCTTCATTTTCTCCCACTTCTTCCCCCTTTTTCCCTTAGGATAATAGTGTATAATGTCCAGGGTTTGTTCATTTTTTCACTTTTTCCACTTTGGAAAAGCTACAAAGGGGCAAAGTGATAGCACAAAATCCTGGCCCCATTGAAGTCAATGGGTGTTTTGTCATTGACTTTAATAGGGCCAGGTTTCTACTCTCAGGATTTTATTTTTCATTTTGCTATTCTTTACTTCTTCCAAAGTTGAGAAAGTTTTGAAAAACTGGAGTGGAAAAGGGAAAAAAAGTAGCAAGAAACCTCCCGACCCCAGGGATCATTCTTTTGTGTTCAGTGGCAAAAAAAGGGAGGAGAAAAGAGGAAGGAAAATATCCAAAAACAGATAAATTTTTATAACTGAAACACAAATTTGTATTTCAAATGAAACTTCTCATTTTAAAATTTCTTGTAGAAAAAATTTGAAATAATTTTCAACAAAATGCCAGTTTTCAGCAGGAAAGTTTTTTCAGTTGAAAAACTTCGACTAGCACCGTTATCGACAATGACATCCTGTTATCAGGATCTCAGGGATCTCAACTTGTGAGTACAAGATCCTTGTAAAATACAATCTAATGCTACTTTCACTCATGTTTAGCCTTAAAAGGTCTTCAGCATAACACATCAAAAGCTATAAACTGAACTAATTGTTTCTGCTTTTTTATTTTACTCTATGCAGAATAGTGCACCCACCACCTGGATCTGAATGCCTGTTTATTACACATCTGTCCTTCCTTTGTTTCTCTGCCACTCAGTGGTTGCTTCCTCAATCCCTGACCACTCCTACTGTGAAAATAAAAATGAGCTTTAGGGTAAGATTTTCAAAAGTACTCAGTATTGGCCTACCTCTGCACCCTCCAAAGCCCTTGTTATTGAGTAAAATGCTTTGTGTTCGAAAAGCCAGAAATCATTTTTTCTACCACCCTGTAAAGCAGAATTGCTGTGCTAACTCTGTTTTACTGTATTGCCCAGTGCTACCCAGAACAGACTTAAGCTGCCTAGCTTGTTTTTGTAAACATTCAATTTCCTCTCTCTTAAACAATGGGAGAATCTGGGTTTAATTAGCTAGAGAAGAAGGTCTATCTCATACACTGAATAGGTGCCTACCTATAAGAGTAACCAGGGTACTCTGAATGTTACTGAGTTAAATACATTTACCACATTAAAACAACATAAGCGCAGGAGGCATGATTTTCTGATGCTCGCTGAAGGGCTTATTACTGTAAGCAATGGCTTGTAAGTACAAAGAGGAATAATCAAATGAAATGGCCCCCATGTACAGTTCAGTACCTATCATAGGAACAACTGACAATGTTAAAAGGACTTTAATAGTATTCTCGTCAGCAGCAACAACCTACATACATTTGTGGCTATGATCAGATCTCACATATCCCGGATCCTAATAGGAAGTGAAAATTTCTCTCTCAACACTTCACATGCACCATTATTCAAAATGTAGGCAGGAATTGTTCCTGTAAGTAGAACAGCATAAACACCAGGTGTGCAGCTAGCCTCAGGAAGTAGTGGGCATTCCCCTAACATCATGCCACAGGACAGGTGGAGGACACCTGGCAACACCTCCTGGTAGACCATCAACATCTGCATAAGTGTTGTGCTGACAGCAACAGTGTGAAGTCCACATAGGTCTTTCAGGACCTAGGGAGGAGCCCTAGAGTTCTCACCAGTGGTGAGATTCTGTGCAGCACCCAACACACAGTCCAGGGGGAGGAAGTGCTACAATGGCTTTAAGCCACCTTTTTGCCTTTCTGATTCTGGGCTGCTCTGACGGCTGGAGTGTGACCCCTGGCTTAGCTACAGCAATGTCCCCGGCTACCCTGTGTCTGGTTTACTGCCATGTGCAATAGATTGCCTTAGTAACAAGTTAAAATTCATCTTTGTGGCATGCCTAGTAGAGGGAACAGGGTCACTACCTATCTTCTATGTGGGGGAAAAGAGCAGAAAAGGGGATGTAACAGGAGGGTGCAGGACACGGAAAGAGTAAAGAATGTGACTTCAATTAAGTATCAATTTGCCAGTGAATAAGCATAATATTTTGAAAGGCAACCATATATTTAAAATCAATTGTCATATGAGAAGCAATTATCCCATTAAATCTAAGTGTTTTAAACGCAATATTTTCTTGGTTTTCTAGTAATCAGGTACTTATCACAAAGCTTTAGTAATTAGGTGACAGATGAATATAGTAGCAACACGGAATGCTTTTCCAAGTGCATTTATACTGTCTCCTTTGTACTGTCTCCTTACCCAAGTGTTCTCCTCTCACTTCAGGATATATATTTTGACAGGCGTTTAACCTGTTCTTAAAACTTTCCAGTGATGAAGTTGGGGGGGGGGGGAGCTTCCTACAACCTCCCTAGGTAACTTGTCACCCACAATTATCCTTAGACTTAGAAAGTTTTTCCTAATATGTAACTTAAATCTCCCTTGCTGCAAACTAAGCCAAACACTTTAAAACAATGTCTATTGTCAATGGCTTGTCAGGGCCAAGTGTGTGTACAGAGCTTAGAGCTGTGTAACTGAGTGCCGCAGTCACCATTCCCAGATGTTTGTTAGATTAACCCCTTTGGTTGTGTCTAGTGTTTTTTTTAATTAGTTCATTGGGCAGCTTTCATCCTGAAGTGGCAATTGTAAAGCAATATGTAAGGAGGGGCTAGCTGCTCTCCAGACTCCACACACACATCAGCCTAAGAGAGCCAGTGACATCTGGCCATCTTTTCCCTTCCCTGCTCTTCTTCTCTTAGCCTTTAGAGGGAGTCAGTTGTCCTACTGCTGGACACCCCTGGTGCTCCCCAGCTTAACAGCTCTTCTCATTACTCACTTCTGCAGCTCTGTCAGCCAGATGTCTGAAGCACGTGGAGAAAAATGATGATAAATCTTGGGTGACTGGTATTTCCAGAGGAATCCAAGTGATTCCTTGGCATTTGTACACACACACACACACAGTCAGTTATGTGGCTCTTTTAAACTCCTTAGCAGGATGATAGAGAGTCTATGTTCTTGTCAGTGTCTTCTCACAAACACTGAAATGGGCACACCTCACTCTCAGTTTCATCATGTTTCAGGAAGAAAATGTAGGAAGTTCATTTAAAGTTTTTACTCTTTCCAGTGTAAATAAGCTCAACTTTGAACAAAAGGTGGCTTTGAAATGAGAGGTTTGACATTTTGAATTTTTGCATGTTCTCATTGCCACAAGAGCCGTGTTGTCAAATGTCAGCAAACACTGATATTCAAGGGACACAAAATGAAACAGCAAAAACATTTATGCAAAAATTAGTGGATTTTCATCCTCTGCTCCGAAAAATCTTCCTACTCGTTCGCTTTAAACTCATGGAGGAAAAAATATACCATAGAGGAAAGGGACAAAGTGCATGGGCAGTCTGACTGCGTCCTTACATGCACATTCTGTCTGTCAGGGTGAGCATATGTCTCAGTGTCCAGTGATCAAAAAAGAAGCATTTCCTTATGCCACTAAGTACATGAGCAGGTGCTTCCTAAATGATGGCATGAATCCACCTTGCATGTTCTGAAATTGCTTTGTGATTCAGAGCACAATACAACGTGGGCTTCACCGGGGCGAGGCACTAGCAAGCTTGAATTTGGCCCCCAGCTGGGCCTGGCCAAAAGTAATTTTGAGTCAGGAACAACAGTGTTCACAGCTTGTGCGACAGGAGGTAAGGAGAAAGGACTTAAAAAGAAAAAAATAATTTCAGTGGGTGAGTTGTCACAGGCTATAATAATCCGAACAACAAGCACAGCCCAGTTAAACTGATTTGGACAAATTTTCCCAGCAGGTTTATTCCTGCTTTAATGGCCATCATTCACTGTCAGCAAACTCCATCTCCTTAAGACAGATATAATTATTGAGGTGTAATGTCAAATCTGACAAGCAGCATTTCACATCAAGCACCATCTCTAACTCCCATATGCTCCCTTCACCGACTGTCCTTCAACAGCAGGTCCCTAGCAAGCCTTTTCTATTACATGCCTGAGCCCATTTACTCTGTTGCAATTCCATCAACTTCAGTGAAGAGGCTCTGGTGCACCAGGGGCAGAGTTTGGACCACCCATACTGTACTTCCATTACTGGATTTCATGTATGTAATCCCTCCCTAATGGGAACTGCTCCCTCTGGGAAAGTACCACTTCCTGGGCAGCAGTGCTCAGTGTGAAGCAGGAGCACCATGTGGGAGCTCTTCAGAAGAAGTCTGGTTCCAAAATGAAGAATGAGTGACGTGGGGCATCTCTAGGGACAAGCTAATGGTTACAGTCTGTATTGGGGCTAGAGGATTAGGTACATAACTTGGAGATTCAGAAAAGCAGGATTTACGTATATATGTCTGGAATCAGTTTAACCCCAGGATCAGATGTCCATCGCCTCCTTGCCACCATGTTCATCAGCTATATTTTGGAGAGTTTATATCCTAATTTATTGTAAATCGAATACGACATGTTAACTTAAATAACATTCACTTTGTAATTGAGAATTGCTTGACGTACTTAATGTCATAAAGATCCAAGTTAGTGCAGCTTAGCTCTTTTTAATACAGTTTTTAAGAGAAAAGGAGTACTTGTAGCACCTTAGAGACTAACCAATTTATTTGAGCATGAGCTTTCGTGAGCTACAGCTCACTTGTAGCTCACGAAAGCTCATGCTCAAATAAATTGGTTAGTCTCTAAGGTGCTACAAGTACTCCTTTTCTTTTTGCGAATACAGACTAACACGGCTGTTACTCTGACACCAGTTTTTAAGAGCTCATTGATTTTTACATAAGTACAAATTCTCCTTCGGCAAGTCACATCGTACTTCATGCAGATTCAGCCCAGCATCAAGTTGTAACTTGGAGAGGTAACTAATCATCAATTAGTCCCATGCTTGCAGTTTTAAAAAATGTTTCCAGAACTAGGCCCTGACTGGGTAAAGCACTTAAGCATATGCTAAAGTCTCATTGTCCTCAGTGTGATAACAGCATGTGCTTAGCTGAACTGGGGTCCTGATGAGAGGGGAGTGAGAGGCGGATCCTCACTGGTGTAAATTAGCATTGGTCTGCTGGCTTAGGCAGTGACCTTCAGTGTCCCCTTCAGTGATCCCCAGCAAATAGAACCATGGAGTGCTGAACAAGAGCAATGGGAGCAGGATCAAACCATGAATGAATCCTCACCAGCCCACTGTGGGGTTGGGAATTAAATATTGATGTACCCATTTTACGGTTAGGCACAGAGAGGGGAAGGGACACACCCAAGGCTGCGTAGCATGTGACTGTGGAGGCAGAACCCAGAAGTCCTGAATCCCAGCCCTGCCCCCAATCCCTTCTAAATGCTGAAGACATGTAATGAACCCAAATAATGCGTGCACAGAATAACATTCTTGCTGCACACAAACAAAGCAAAGAAGGGTGATCTTCTGTTAAAGCCATTAAGCCAACCCTCCTTTTTTTTTTAATGTGTCTCTTTGGGGCTAGGAATTGCCAAACAGGGGTGGTTCTACGCTTCCTAAAAAATATCCTGAGCCCTTAAGGAGAGAGTTAAGCTGGAATTCTCATGCCTTCTGCTCGGTTTAACCACTCTGCTGCAGGATTGTGCTGTGTTAATTATCCAGGTGAAACTTTCAAATCATAGAGCTGAATGAATTGCTTTTGGATGTACTTACTCTTCACAGGGCCCAGTATACCTAGAGCTGGAGGATCTAAGACAAGAAGGTTGTTCCTAGCTGCTAATGGCATGTTTCCACCAGTCAGAACTCATTAGCCGCCTGTTCTGTGTTTGACAGTGTATTTGGGAGCATTAATAGTTTTCAAAATCAGCCTTAATGCTGGGTAATCATTGGAGCTGAAAAGAAAATGCACCATCTCACTGGTTTCAGAGTAACAGCCATGTTAGTCTGTATTTGCAAAAAGAAAAGGAGTACTTGTGGAACCTTAGAGACTAAGCAATTTATTTGAGCATAAGCTTTCGTGAGCTACAGCTCACTTCATCGGCTGCACACTGTGGAAAATACAGAAGATTTTTTTATACACACAGACCATGAAAAAATGGGTGTAGGAAGAATCTGCCGCTCTCATCTGAGCAGGCCTACATTTTTTCATACTTCCAACACTTGCAACAAGGAAGCTGTACAGTATGTCCTTCCCAGTAGGACACAGGCTGTACGAGGATAGTGGGATGTTGTGGGAGCTGCTTTGAAGCAGGGATAAAATGTTGCCTCCGTTGTACTAATGCCTGGCCCCAAAATATTACAGCAAAAGGCATTTTGTTATAGGTGTGTGTAGTCAGCTTCCCTGATGGAGAATTGCAAATAACTGCATCTGTGCTGGGTTTCCTCATCACTGCAACCTAAGCAGCAAGGGATGCCCTCAGTATCGTCTGCATCACACAACTTCAGTTCCAGCTCAGGGATGGGATCCACAGGTAGTTCCCCTCTGAGATTCTCTCTCGAATCACAAGTGAAAGGGAGCTCAGGTGTCTTCCACTGAGGTTCTTTGCAACCTCACTACACAGTTTAGCCCAATGGTGCTTCTCTGCTTTGTGAGGTGCCCAACATTACACTGGAACAAAGCCAGTGTCATTCAGTCCTTTGTTCAAATGACCACTAAATGCACTTACCAAAGAAATTGGGGGTAGGAGTAGGGGGAGAGAGTGTAGGACTCCTGTTATACTGGCAGGCAACATGGAGATCTGCTTGTATCTGGAGAGCATTTTAATGGCTATAACCTTGATCAGCTGAGCCAAACAAAGACTCTGATCCCTGTAGTGCTATGAAACATCATTATCAGAAAGAACTTGAGATAAAAAGGGCATTAAATGTTTATTTTTATGGATGGTCTTCGGAGCTAGATGTTTTCTGAGCTGTACACTCTGCCTTTGCCTCCTTCTCAGGTCTTCTGTGGCCATCCCCTGCCATCTCGCTGTGTTGGGTAAACCAAGTCAATCAGGATGTACCGTTGTTAGCTTCTTGGCATTGTCTTAATGAGGAGGCAGCGTGCTCCAGTGCATTGAATGCTGGACTGAGAGTCAAGACCTGGCTTTTATTCCACTGACTTGCTAGATGTCACAACCTTAAACAAGTAATTTTAACATCTCTGCCTCCAATGTGTATCCCCCTTTGTACAATGCTTTGAGAGCTGTCGGCGGAAAGCACTATGCCAACCTACTGCAATTATTTTATTTCTATATAGTACTGTGCCCACATATCTATTCAGGGGACACCATCACAGGGCCTAATAACATCAGTCACACTATCAGAGGCTCGTTCACCTGCACATCCACCAATGTGATATATGCCATCATGTGCCAGCAATGCCCCTCTGCCATGTACATTGGTCAAACTGGACAGTCTCTACGTAAAAGAATAAATGGACACAAATCAGATGTCAAGAATTATAACATTCATAAACCAGTCGGAGAACACTTCGATCTCTCTGGTCACGCAATCACTGACATGAAGGTCACTATCTTATAACAAAAAAACTTCAAATCCAGACTCCAGCGAGAAACTGCTGAATTGGAATTCATTTGCAAATTGGATACTATTAATTTAGGCTTAAATAGAGACTGGGAGTGGCTAAGTCATTATGCAAGGTAGCCTATTTCCCCTTGCTTTTTCCTACCCCTCCCCCCCGACATTCTGGTTAAACTTGGATTTAAACTTGGAGAGTGGTCAGTTTGGATGAGCTATTGCCAGCAGGAGAGTGAGTTTATGTGTGTGTGTGTGTGTTCCCCGGGGGGGGGGTGAGAAAGCCTGGATCTGTGCTGGAAATGACCCACCTTGATTACCATGCACATTGTAGGGAGAGTGGTCACTTTGGAAGAGCTATTACCAGCAGGAGAGTGAGTTTGTGTGTGTATGGGGGTGGGGGGGGTGAGAAAACCTGGATTTGTGCTGGAAATAGCCCACCTTGATTATCATGCACATTGTAGGGAGAGTGGTCACTTTGGATAAGCTATTACCAGCAGGAGAGTGAGTTTGTGTGTGTGGTTTTTGGAGGGGGGTGAGGGGGTGAGAGAACCTGGATTTGTGCAGGAAATGGCCCACCTTGATTATCATACACATTGTGAAGAGAGTGGTCACTTTGGATGGGCTATTACCAGCAGGAGAGTGAGTTTGTGGGGGGGCGGGGAGCGGAGGGTGAGAAAACCTGGATTTGTGCTGGAAATGGCCCAACTTGATGATCACTTTAGATAAGCTATTATCAGCAGGACAGTGGGGTGGGAGGAGGTATTGTTTCATGGTCTCTATGTGTATATAATGTCTACTGCAGTTTCCACGGTATGCATCCGATGAAGTGAGCTGTAGCTCACGAAAGCTCATGCTCAAATAAATTGGTTAGTCTCTAAGGTGCCACAAGTACTCCTTTTCTTTTTGCAAAGACAGACTAACACGGCTGTTACTCTGAAACCTGTCAGTACTGTAATAAAGATCAGTGGGCAGTGTCACTTGGTTGCACCAAGCTGTTGTGTGGTTCAGTATGGCTGCAATAAACCACAAGTCCTCTTTGTCACTATGTAGGTGCAGGTGAGTTTCTACAGTGAATGAATGTGTAGGGGCGTGTTGGATAATAGTTCTTCAGGTGGTGCTGTCAGTGTGATTCAAAGTTGACTTCTAGAGACTGCAAAGTGGTTAGTTCTATCTCTATGGTCCATTTCATCCTTAGTCTTTCTTCATATGATGTGCGGTTGAGTTAGAAATTGGTCTCTTACTATAAACGCTTACCCAAGCATTCCATAACAATGTCCCCAAACGAGTTGAAGCATACAGTGAGGTCACCTGTGTTTAGAGCTGTCAAGGTTCCTCCCCCACTCTGAACTCTAGGGTACAGATGTGGGGACCTGCATGAAAAAACCCCCTAAGCTTATCTTTACCAGCTTAGGTCAAAACTTCCCCAAGGTACAAAATATTACACCCGTTATCCTTGGAATGGCCGCTACCACCACCAAACTAATACTGGTTACTGGGGAAGAGCTGTTTGGACGCGTCTTTCCCCCCAAAATACTTCCCAAAACCTTGCACCCCACTTCCTGGACAAGGTTTGGTAAAAAGCCTCACCAATTTGCCTAGGTGACTACAGACCCAGACCCTTGGATCTTAAGAACAATGAACAATCCTCCCAACACTTGCACCCCCCCTTTCCTGGGAAATGTTGGATAAAAAGCCTCACCAATTTGCATAGGTGACCACAGACCCAAACCCTTGGATCTGAGAACAATGAAAAAGCATTCAGTTTTTACAAGAAGACTTTTAATAAAAAAAAGAAGTAAATAGAAATAAAGAAATCCCCCCTGTAAAATCAGGATGGTAGATATCTTACAGGGTAATTAGATTCAAAAACATAGAGAACCCCTCTAGGCAAAACCTTAAGTTACAAAAAAGATGCACAGACAGAAATAGTTATTCTATTCAGCACAATGCTTTTCTCAGCCATTTAAAGGAATCATAATCTAACACATACCTAGCTAGATTACTTACTAAAAGGTCTAAGACTCCATTCCTGTTCTGTCTCTGGCAAGAGCAGCATACAGACAGACACAGACCCTTTGTTCCTCTCCCTCCTCCCAGCTTTTGAAAGTATCTTGTCTCCTCATTGGTCATTTTGGTCAGGTGCCAGCGAGGTTACCTTTAGCTTCTTAACCTTTAGCTGGCTAAATTGTCGGGCTCAACGGGTAGTGATCAATGGCTCCATGTCTAGTTGGCAGCCGGTATCAAGTGGTGTGCCCCAAGGGTCGGTCCTGGGGCCGGTTTTGTTCAATATCTTCATAAATGATCTGGAGGATGGTGTGGATTGCACTCTCAGCAAATTTGCGGATGATACTAAACTGGGAGGAGTGGTAGATACGCTGGAGGGGAGGGATAGGATACAGAAGGACCTAGACAAATTGGAGGATTGGGCCAAAAGAAATCTGATGAGGTTCAATAAGGATAAGTGCAGGGTCCTGCACTTAGGACGGAAGAACCCAATGCACAGCTACAGACTAGGGACCGAATGTCTAGGCAGCAGTTCTGCAGAAAAGGACCTAGGGGTGACAGTGGACGAGAAGCTGGATATGAGTCAGCAGTGTGCCCTTGTTGCCAAGAAGGCCAATGGCATTTTGGGATGTATAAGTAGGGGCATAGCGAGCAGATCGAGGGACGTGATCGTTCCCCTCTATTCGACATTGGTGAGGCCTCATCTGGAGTACTGTGTCCAGTTTTGGGCCCCACACTTCAAGAAGGATGTGGATAAATTGGAGAGAGTCCAGCGAAGGGCAACAAAAATGATTAGGGGTCTGGAACATATGAGTTATGAGGAGAGGCTGAGGGAGCTGGGATTGTTTAGCCTGCAGAAGAGAAGAATGAGGGGGGATTTGATAGCTGTTTTCAACTACCTGAAAGGGGGTTCCAAAGAGGATGGCTCTAGACTGTTCTCAATGGTAGGAGATGACAGAACGAGGAGTAATGGTCTCAAGTTACAGTGGGGGAGGTTTAGATTGGATATTAGGAAAAACTTTTTCACTAAGAGGGTAGTGAAACACTGGAATGCGTTACCTAGGGAGGTGGTAGAATCTCCTTCCTTAGAGGTTTTTAAGGTCAGGCTTGACAAAGCCCTGGCTGGGATGATTTAACTGGGAATTGGTCCTGCTTTGAGCAGGGGGTTGGACTAGATGACCTTCTGGGGTCCCTTCCAACCCTTATATTCTATGATTCTATGATTCTATGAACCCTTTACAGGTGAGAGGAGCTTTCCCCTGGCCAGGAGGGATTTCAAAGGGGTTTACCCTTCCCTTTATATTTATGACACGCCCCCCAAATCTCAGCTAGGGTGAAACACTGGCTGGGATTTCTTCCTGGAGCTCTAGGAAAAACAGAGTTAATAAGACACATGCATCTCTAAATATACTACCAAGTACATAAAGACTAACAATATTTTCCACATCTCAAGGACGATTTTAACCAGTTGACTCTGGGAAACTTTCACGGGAGAGTGCATCAGCCACTTTGTTAGAAGCTCCTGAGATGTGTTGGATGTCGAAATCAAAATCTTGGAGAGCTAAACTCCACCGAAGAAGTTTTTTGTTAGTTTCTTTGACGGTGTGAAGCCACTTCAGTGCAACATGGTCGGCTTGCAGGTGGAAACGCCTGCAAACATATGGGCGTAGCTTTTCCAGAGCGTAGACAATGGCGTAACATTCTTTTTCAGTGACTGACCAGTTGCTTTCCCTCTCAGACAGTTTTTTGCTGAGAAACACTACAGGGTGGAATTCTTGATCAGGTCCTTTCTGCATTAAAACTGCTCCCACACCACGCTCAGATGCATCTGTGGTTACTAGGAACGGTTTGTCAAAGTCTGGGGCCCTTAGTACAGGGTCAGACATGAGTGTCGCTTTAAGCTTGTTAAAGGCCTTCTGACACTTTCCGGTCCACTGAACAGCATTTGGCTGTTTCTTTTTGGTTAGGTCTGTCAGTGGGGCAGCGATTTGGCTGTAGTGTGGTACAAATCGTCTGTAATAACCGGCCAAGCCTAAGAAGGATTGAACCTGTTTCTTTGACTTTGGGACAGGCCACTTTTGGATAGCATCCACTTTGGCCTGTAGGGGGCTGATAGTTCCTTGACCCACCTGGTGTCCAAGGTAAGTCACTCTGTTTAGGCCTATTTGACACTTCTTAGCCTTAACAGTTAGTCCTGCCTCCCTTATGCGCTCAAGGACTTTTTGTAGATGTTCCAGGTGGTCTGCCCAGGAATCCGAAAATATGGCCACATCGTCAAGGTAGGCGACTGCATATTCTCCTAATCCCGCTAGGAGACCATCTACAAGTCTTTGGAAAGTGGCGGGTGCATTTCGCAGCCCGAAAGGGAGTACATTAAATTCATACAGCCCGAGATGTGTGATGAAGGCTGACCTTTCCTTGGCAGATTCATCTAGCGGTATCTGCCAGTACCCCTTGGTTAAGTCCAAGGTAGAGATGAATTGGGCCCGTCCCAGTTTCTCTAATAGTTCATCTGTGCGTGGCATTGGATAGTTGTCTGGGCGAGTTACAGCATTTAGCTTACGGTAGTCCACGCAAAAACGTATTTCCCCATCTGGTTTGGGAACTAGAACCACTGGAGATGCCCATGCACTTTCAGAGGGGCGGATTACACCCATCTGTAACATATCCTGGATCTCCCGTTCTATAGCAGTTTTAGCTTGAGGAGACACCCGGTAAGGTTGGACCCTAATTGGGTGAGCATTACCTGTGTCAATGGAGTGGTATGCCCGTTCAGTCAGTCCTGGGGTGGCTGAGAACGTTGGCGCGTAGCTAGTGCACAGCTCCTGGATCTGCTGTCGCTGCATACGCCCAAGGGTCATGGAGAGGTTCACCTCTTCTACCCCACCACCACATTTCCCTTCGTAGTAGACACCTTTGGGCCACTCAGCGTCGTCTCCTCCCTGGGCTGTAAACTGACAAACCTTTAATTCTCTGGAATAAAAGGGCTTTAGAGAATTAATATGGTACACCTTAGGCTTTCGGTTGGAGGTGGGGAATGCTATGAGATAATTAACAGCTCCCAGGCGCTCCTGGACCGTGAATGGCCCTTCCCACGATGCTTCCATTTTATGGGCCTGGAGCGCCTTTAAGACCATGACCTGGTCTCCTACTTTGAAGGAACGCTCTCTGGCATGTTTATCATACCAGGCTTTTTGCTCTTTTTGAGCATCCTGTAAGTTTTCTCTAGCAAGGGCTAAAGAGGTTCGGAGGGTG